GTGTGTGTGTGTGTGTGTGTGTGTGTGATCCCCTTTTGCAACCTTTTTGACGAATAAAATCAAGGGGGGAAGCCAGATCCACTTAACAACCGCGGCTAGAAAGGTCGTGAGTTGAGGCAAAACTCACTTCGCAAGTGTCTCACTCAACCACAGAAATTTCTGGGGCTCGATTGCCGTCGTAAATCCGGGACCACTTATGTTCGGGCTGCCTTTTTGGTGGGTAAACCTGGTGGATTAACGTTCCCCCAACACCCGGGGATGATGGGTGTTGTTTTCCACCTTTAGCGATAGGAGAACCTACAGCTGGGCCCAACTCTCATCCCGACGCTTCTTAGCTACCTCAAACTGACGACGATTCATTTAGCGACCGTCCGAGTGAGTTGTCTGGGATTAGAGGCCCCTTGACAGTCAAGCTAGCTCTCGAGACAGGACGTTGCTCATTTTTCCTTTTCTAAAAAACCATTTTTCGCTTCTCCGCAGGCGATATCCCGAGAAATTGAAGCAGCTGCAGGTTCTCTACATCCGTACGGTCCTTCCTTTCCCCGAGATGGAAGAATTTATTCAAGAGACGTCTCGGAGGTAGGCACCCGTTCTTCCTTTGGTGATGCCACACCAGGGGGAAATCTTCGGCCGCCTTGATTTTCATCCCAAAAATCACTTTCTCGCAGCCCTAAAAAAGAAGCAATGGCAAAAAATCCCCAAATCAACGGCTGGGACTCCTCCACGCAGTGTCCAAGAATCGGAGGCAATTAAAAAAGAAAAAATAGGGTCCATTAATCCCACAAGGAGCGGATTCGGAACACGGATCCGTGCCGAATTTGACGATTTCCCTTTTGAATCTTCCCGCGATTTTTCCGACAGGTACAACCTTCACATCTGTGTGGTCCATGGGAATATCAAAGAAGCTTTGGGGATCCTGAAGGGACAGCAGCCGGATCTCGAAGCCGTGCTGATGGGCACCCGCCGGACGGACCCTTATTCCCGCTCCCTGAAATCCTTCTGTATGACGGACCCCGAATGGCCACAGTACATGCGTGTCTGCCCTCTGTTGGTGAGTCCTGCTTTAACAGCTCTTTTAATAGTCTTTTTCAACATTTTAATTCATACGTGCCAGTTTAATTTTTAACTCTAAAAAGGTAAAGGTTCCCCTTGCGCATACGTGCCAGTCGTTCCTGACTCTAGGGGGCGGTGCTCATCTCCGTTTCAAAGCCGAAGAGCCAGCGCTGTCCGAAGACGTCTCCGGGGTCATGTGGCNTTTCCTTCATCCATTTACTTCACTCTCTTTCCTTCCTTTCCCTTCCCTTCTTCATTCATTTACTTCCCTCCCTTCTATCTTTCCCTCTCTTCCTTTTCCTTCCCATCATCCATTTACTTTTTTATTTCCTTCCCTTCTTCAACCATTTACTTCTTTTCATTTTCCCCTTCCCTTCATCCATTTCCCTCCCTTCCCTTTTCATCGACTTACTTCCCTTCTTTACTTTCCCTTTTTCATCCATTACTTCCTTCCCTTCCTTCCATCTTTCCCTTCCCTTCTTCATTTACTTCTCTTCCTTTATTTCCTTCCTTTCTCTTCTTCAACCACTTCCTTCCATTTTCCCTTCCCTTCTTCATCCATTTACTCTTCTTTTATTACTAGCCAAGTGTGATTGGACACCCAAGGGATTTCTCTGCCAAGCCAGCTTTAAGCAGAAATGACAATTTCCAACATTGCACATAGTTCAGAAAAAAATTATTTATATAATTTTATTATTATTATATAATAAACAATTTAATTGTGTTTGTGTATGTGTGTATATATGTGTGTGTATATATATACATAAACACACACACAGACACACACACATTTATATACAAAGACACACACACATATATATATATATTATATACACATACATATATACACAAGGAAGCGCCGGGAGGCATGATGGGAACTGTAGTTTCCTGAGAGGCCTAGAGCGTCGCTCTCTTGCAACACCGCCCACGCCTGTTGGCCAATCCGCGCTCCCTCCGTTCCCCGCCCCTTTCTCGCTAGACCAATAGCAAACGAGGCGGGCGGGCCTGGCAAGAAGAAACAGCCAATGGGCAAGCGATAGGCGGGGCTCCCGGGCAGTTACTTGAGCGAGGCTTGGGGTAAGTCGGGGGTGCGTGGGAATCCCCCGGGTTTTTGCTTGAAATGGTATCTCCCACCCTGTAGGTTTGGGAAAGGGGGCTCCTGAGCATGGGCAGAGTGTCAAAGGCGCTTGGAAGCGAAGGCTTCTCTGTTTGGGGATTGCTTAAAGCAGGAAACTAGTATAAGGATGAATCATGGTTTTGGGTAGGTAAATAAATGCAGGTTTAGGGTGCGATCCAGTTTAGGAGGATGATTGGAATGGATTAATTCAACCAATCAATCAAAAAAGTGATTGAATTCAATCAACAACAACAACAACAACAGTAATTTATTATTACAGTCTTAGACCAGCCACCAGAACAAATCAAAGGCAGTGTGTATATATACAGTTAAAAACTTCCAGTATAAAATAATACATAACAACTAAAATCTATAATAAGGAAGGGGGGGAGAAAAGAAAAGAAAAGAAAAGAAAGAGAAAACGAGGTGGTGTCTTAGCAGGTGCGAAGGATGGTAAACAAAGCATTTTAAACCATACCTTATAACCTCCAAAGGGAATAATAATAATATAAGAATGGCAAAGAAAAAGAACAATTATGTGAATGTATATCTATAATCTGTATGTCAGAGATTAAACGACAGTAAAAATATGAAGCATAATATAGGTAGATAATATTTGGTCGTAAGTAGCTAAGTTTAAATAAATAAAGAAATGTACATAAAAATGGATAACGAATAAGATTATGAATGAAAGATAGAAATGTATAGAAGGGAAAACACTAACTGCAAAGAAACCGATTCGGAACTGCGGTATGAAATACGATGGAACTTATTGTTCCTATGTTGTTTTTAAGTTATGTGTTTGTTTTTGTTGATGTGTTTAAAATAAAATAAAAAATTGATCACATAAAATCTATAATAAAATCCAGTGTCAATTACTTGTTCTGGTCGCTGGTCTAAAACGGTAATAATAAATTGCTGTTGTTGTAATAGGAACAGTTTCATTCCATTTTAATTTGAATTTTCCATGTCAAGAGGGCGAATCTGCAACCTTTAGTACTTCCAAAGCGAGGAAAATAATCATAAATAAAGTAGAAACGTCCAGCCAAAACAAAATGATTATTATGTAATAATAATAATAATGATGATGATGTCTTTGTTCTTCTTCGGGCTGGCTTGTTTTCTTGCGGACGTTTCGTGACCAAACTAGGTAACGACATCAGGGCTAAACTGGAGGTGGGGGTCTGCGAGGGGGAGGGAGAGGAGGAGTGGTGAAAGGAGGAGGAGGAAGGAGATGGAGGAGGAGGACTGTGGGGTCCTCGGTGCTCTCTGAGCTTGGCGGTTTTCTTGCAGACGTTTCATGACCCAGCTAGGTAACATCATCAGTGCTAGAAGAGAGGGGGGGTTGTGGACAAGGAGAGGAGAAGGTGAAGGAAGAAGAGGAGGAGGAGGAGGAGGAAAAAGAGGAGGAAGAGGAGGAGGAATGTGGGGGTCCTTGGTGCTCTCTGAGCTTGGTGGTTTTCTTGCAGACGTTTCATAACCAAACTAGGTAACGGCATCAGTCCTAGACTGGAAGTGGGGTGTATGAAACGGAGGAGGAGAAGGAGGAAGATATATGAGGTCCATAGTACGCTCTCAGCTTGAAGATGTTTCACGACCCAACTAGGTAACATCATCAGTCTCATACAAAAAAAAATATCCATTCCTTTCTAACCCTGACAATGTTACCTAGCTCGGTCATGTTCTTCCTCCTCCTCTTCTCCTTCTTCTTCTTCTTCCTCCTCAATTCCCCTCTCTTTTAGCATTGATGGTGTTACCTAGCTGGGTCAGGAAACGTCTGCAAGGAAACCACCCAGGTCAGAGAGCATTAAGGACCTTAATTTCAACCTTTAAGCTACAAACATTCTCCTTGATTTAAAATAATAACAATCCTGCAAGAATTTGGGGAGGGGGGGGGAGATAAATAGCTGCTACCAAGGGGCTTGTAATATTCATTTCCAAGGGGGGGGGGGGCTTTGCAGGTAACGCAGCTTCACAAAACCCCGCCAAAGCTACCTTCAGAACTGGCAGCTTCCAAGGGACGCTGGATCCTGCGCTGGAATCTTTGGCTCTGCAGGAACGTCGCGCCCGCCGGGAGGCCCAAGCAGTGGCTGCAAACGATGGCGACCCAGGTGGATGGGGAGAGTCCCAAAGACAAAGGGGGCACCCCCCAATCCGCAGCCGTGACCGCCGGCATCATCGTCATCGGAGACGAGATCTTAAAGGTGCGTGAACCATTCGCATAACCGGCGTACGCTTTGGGGAAATCGAGGCAAGCTTCAATCGGTGAATTCATCTATTCTCTCCCCACCCCAATAAATTCAATCTGGTGATCTACGTCGACTGATTAATTCATTTGTTCGATTTGCACCCTGCCTTTTCACACTGAAGTTTATCTAGCGTAGCGTGAGTATGTGTTTATCCCAATCTTCCCCTTGTGAAGTACTGCAAAGGCATTACCACGGCAACTCCACTGTGCTGTACAGCAGAAGCTGTTTTAAGGCACAACAGGCTATATCTGAACAGAACTTGAATCCAAAATGCACACCATAACGCTGTTCCCTTCCCACCAAAGATGGTCCCTGTTTTTCTACTTGCATTTTTTACGTGCTTTCGAACTGCTAGGTTGGCAGAAACTCGGACAAGTCACCGGAGCTCGCTCCGTTACGGAGCGCCGGGGATTGGAACTGCCGACTGTTCTGATCGACAAGCTCAGCATCTTAGCCACTGAGCCACTGCGTCCCATGATGATGATTATCCTTCTAATAATATCTCTCCTCTTTTTTTTTTTGGTCTTTTTTTTTCAGGGATTCACACAAGATACCAATTCTTTTTACATGTGCCAGAAACTCCGCTCGCTGGGGGTGAAGGTGGCCAAGATTTCTGTGGTGCCTGACCAGGTGGAGGCCATAGCCACCGAGGTGAAGTCTTTTGCTGACAGGTTCACGTACGTTTTGACGTCAGGAGGCATTGGCCCCACGCACGACGATGTCACCTTTGAAGCGGTGGCAGAAGCCTTCGGGGAGAAAATCCGACTGCATCCGGAGATGGTGGAGCTGGTTAAGAAATTTTTCGGCCAGCAGTCCAAGCCCGAAAGCCCTAAGATGAAGCTGGCTTGCGTCCCCGAATCGTCTCTTCTCAATTACGGGGTGGACGAGAAGACGGGACGTACCCTCCCGTACCCGCTCATCAGCGTCCGGAATGTCTACATTTTCCCAGGGATCCCCTCGTTAATGAAACGGGCCCTGGACGGTCTCCAACATCTATTCCGCAACGAGAAGACCCAGTTTTACATGCGGGAGATCTACGTCAACGTGGACGAAACGCGGATCGCGTCGGTGCTGAACGACACCAACGGCAAATTCTGGCCTCGCACCAACCTGGGCTCGTACCCGGATTGGGTCAGCAACTACCACCGAGTGAAGCTGATCCTGGACTCGGATTCGGAGGCTGACCTGGACGAGGCGCACGCTTTCCTGATGGCGAACTTGCCCCGTGGGGTGGTGGTACCTTTGATAGCGGATCCGGTCTCCCGGGCCTCTACAGATGTCTACGGTTTGGCTGAGTCTGGTAGGTAGCCTTGTCCCCCCGCATGGATTATACTGAGTATGATAAGTAGTCCTATCCACCCTCCGGCAGGCGAATCAGAGGAGTAGGCGGCGGTATGAGAGTCAGGATCAGCATCCAGGCAACCAAGGGGAAAGAGGGAAGGGAGCTAGCAGAGAGAGAGAGAGACAGAGGCGCAGCCTGGGACGTCCATCAGCCCTCAGGTGGAGAGTCAAAAGCCCCCAGGTCTGGAGGTGGCTGATGAGGAAGAGGAGGGACAGCTGGGTTCATTGCCTGACATAGAAAGCAGAGGAGAGGAGAGCAATGGAAATCTATGGGCAGGTCCTTGGGACGGAAGAGCCACCTCTGCTAGATAAGGCCCATCCTAGCTCGGGGGATAAAAGGCAGGGGGCTGAAGTGAATAGGTGTGGCGAGGGGAACCTTTACCTTTTCTGGCGGTCATAAGTTGAGGACTGTTTGTATAAATCAGCTACCCAGGGGGCCGCTGGGATTTCGGGCCTTGTCAATCATGATTTTACTCACGGATGCCTCCTCCTCCCTACCTGCAGGTTCTCCTCTTGGCCAGAAGGTGGCAGCGTCACTCAGGACCATCGAAGAAGGCTTGGAGAGCTACAGTCTCTCCAAAATCTGCATTGGTTTTAACGGCGGGAAGGATTGCACCGCCTTGTTGCACCTCTCTTACGCCGTCGTGCAAAGGTGCCTCGCTTTCGACCCCGCTTTGGCACAAAGTCGCACAGGGATACGAAACCAGCCTCCCGTAGAGTCGCGCTTAATTTTTTTTTTTAAATTAAAATTGTCTAAACACTTTAAAAAAGGGGAATGCATGTTTCTAGTCCTCATTGTTGACTCCGAGGCCAATTTTGCCTGCAAAGCTCCCAAGTTCAATCTTTTGCTGGGGGGCTTAATCCAGGAATTTAAAAGTATGGTCAAAGGTAGCCCTCGACTTACGGCCATTCGTTTAAGGGACCAAAGATAACAACGGCGCTGAAAAATGAGACCGATGGCCCTTTTTTCCCCACGCTTACGACCGTTGCAGTATCCCCACGCGAACGAAATTTAGACGCTTGGCAGCTGGCTCATATTTACGACGGCCACAGCATCCCGTGTGCGTGTGTGTGTGTGTGTGTGTGTGTGTG